AACAAAAGTTATGTGAATATTCTCTCCCTTTTCTCAAAATATATTATTGTACTGTACCATGGGTAACTGTGGAAAGCAAAACTGCAGTTAAGAGGAGACCACTGTAAGGTCTTTGCAGATGTAATCAATTTATGATGAAGTTATACTGGATTAGAGTGGACCCTAAATCCAATGACTGTTGCCTTATAAGGAGAAAGAGACTTGGAGACACAGACACACACACACAGGGAAGAGGACCATGTAAAGATGGAGACAGAGATTGGAGTTACACTGCCACAAGGCAAGGAATGCCAAGGATTGTCAGCAACCACCAGAAGCTAGGAAGAGGCAAGGAAGGACTCTTCTCTAGAGCTTTCAGAGGGAAAATGACCATGCTGACACCCTAATTTTGGGTGCCTGGATTCCAGGGCTGTGAGAGAATAAATCTCTGCTGTTTTAAGCCACCCAGTTTGTGAAAAAATGTAGCACCCCTAGGGAACTAATACAACTTAGAGCAAGCGTTGAGATTAAATTAGTAATTTATAAACTTCCATCAAAGAAAAGCCTATGGCCAGGTATCTTCACTGGTATATATATTTTTTCTTTCTTTTTTTAAATAGAGATGGGGTCTCATGATGTTGCCCAGGCTGGTCTCGAACTCCTGGGCTCAAGCGATCTGCCCGCCTCAGCCTCCCAAAGTGCTGGGATTACAGGTGTGAGCCACCACGCTCTGCCTTCACTGGCATATTCTATTAGACATTTAAAGATGAATTAATACCATTTCTTCACAAACTTTTTCAAAGTATAGAAGAAGAGGGAAGACATCCTTATTCTGTGAGGCCAGTATTATTTATACGAAAACCAAAGATATCACAAGAAAACTACAGACAAATACCATTTATGAGTACCAGCACAAAAAAGTCCTCAACAAAACATTAGCAAACCAAATTTTACAACATATAAAAAGTGTTACATACCACAACCAAATGGAATGTATCCCAGGAGTGCAAAGTTGGTTTAACACCCTATCTATCTATCTGTCTGTCTGTCTGTCTATCTATCTATCTATCTATCTATCTATCTATCTATCTATCTATATCTATTTATTTATTTTGTCTCACCCTGTCGTCCAGGCTGGAGCACAGTGGCACAATCATGGCTCACTGCAGCCTTGACCTCCCAGGCTCAGGAAATATTCCTGCCTCAGCCCCCAGGTAGCTGGGACTACAGGTGTGCACCACCATGCCCAACTGTTAATAATTTTTTAACTGATTTGTAGAGACGGGGGTCTCCCTCTGTTGTGCTCAGGCTGGTCTCGAACTCCTGGGCTCAGGCGATCCTCCTGCCTCAGCCTTCCAAAGAGCTGGAATTACAGGCATGAGCCACTGTACCTGGCTGGTTTAACACTCTTACGTCAATTACTGTAATACAATGTATTAATACAGTAAGTGACACAGACCACATGATCATCTCTGTAGACACCCTCCAGAATAGCATTTGGCCAAATCCAGCACTTTTTCTTGATGTAAAAACAAACCCAACAAACTAGGAATAGAAGGAAACTTTCTCAACCTGAACTACAAAAACACCCAACTAAAAGATGGAACAGCTTCCCCCAAAATCAGGAACAAGGCAGGATGTCCACTCTCACCATGTACATCCACCGTTGTACATGAGGTTCTAGCCAGGGAAATTAGGCAATAAAAAGAAACCAAAGTCATTCACATTGCAAAAGAAGAGGTAAAACTGTCTCGGTTTACAGATGACATGATGATGTGTATAGAAAATCCCAAGAAATCTACAAAACACTGTTAGAGTTTAACAAGTTCAGCAAGGTTCAGAATATCACATCATTTTTAAAAAAACATAATTGTATTGCTATACACTAGCAGTGAACAATATGAACATGAAAGTTTGAAAACTACAGTAGTGTCAAAAAAATACAACACTTAGGAATAAATATAAAAGTATAAGACTCATATGTTGTAAATTACAAAATATTGCTGAAAGAAATTACATGGAAAGACATGTTCATGGATCAGAAGACTTAAAATTGTTACCATGATATTACTTCCCAAACTGATATGCGGATTCAGTGCATTTTCTACCAAAACCCCCTGACTTATTTGCAGAGATTCACAAGCTGGTCCTAAAATTCATATGAAAATTTAAGAGACTTCAAATAGTCTAAACAGTCTTGTAAAAGAAGAACAAATTGGGAGGATTTACACTTTACCAGTTTCAAAACTTACTATAAAACTACCTTGGGCAGCTTAATGTGATGCTGGCTTGAGGATAGATATATAAATAGTGGAATAGAATCGAGTGTCCAGAAGTAAAATGTATGGCCAGTGACTTTTGACAAGAGTTCTAAAACAGTTCTTTGGGGGAAAGAATTGTTTTTTCACCAAAAGGTGCTGGAACCAAGTGAGTATCCACATGCAAGAGAATGGGGTTGGACCCGTTCCTTATGCCATACACTAAATTAACTTGACATGTATTATAGGCGTAAAAGTAAGCCCTAAAACTATAAAATTCTTAGAAGAAAGCATAGGGTTAAATCTTCATGGTCAAGTTTTTTAGGTATAACATCAAAAGCACAAGTGACGAAAAATATATAGATTGGAATTCACTAAAATTAAAGCTTTCGTGCTACTAACAGTACCGTCAGTACTATCAAGTAATAAAACTCAAAGAATGGAAGAAAATATTTGCAAATCATATATCTAATAATGGACTTGTTTCAGAATATATCAAGAATTCTTACAGTGCAACAGTAAAATGGTAAATGACTCAATAAAAAATGAGCAAGGATCTCGGCCGGGTGCGGTGGCTCATGCCTGTAATCCCAGCACTTTGGGAGGCCGAGGCAGGTGGATCATGAGGTCAAGAGATGGAGACCATCCTGGCCAACACGGTGAAACCCCGTCACTACTAAAAATACAAAAAGCCAGGCATGATGGTACGTGCCTACAGTCTCAGCTGCTCGGGAGGCTGAGGCAGGAGAATCATTTGAACCCGGGAGGCGGAGGTTGCAGTGAGCCAAGATCGCACCACTGTGCTCCAGCCTAGGCAACAGAGTGAGACTCCGTCTCAAAAAAGAAAAAAAATCAATGATCTGAATGGACATTTTTCCAAAGAAGGTATAATGTGCCAATAAGCACATGAAAAGATGCTCAACATCATTAGTCAATTAGGAAAATACAAACCTTAAACCATGAGATGTACCACTTCTTATCTACTAAAATGGGTGTAATAAAAAAGATAACAAGTGTTCATAAGTATGTGGAGAAGTCAGAACCCGTGTACATTGTTTTTGGAAATACAAATGATGTAGCTGCTTTGGCAAATGGTTCAGCCTTCCTCAAAATAGTTAATGTGATAGAGAAATTTATAAAAGAGAATGTTGGCAAATACAGCTATAATAAAGGTTCTCATTATTTATAAGACCTAAAATATTTCATTTAAATTTTTTAATACATTATATAGCAAACTTACTGTGCCTTATATAGCAGTGTTTAAGGATCATTATTTTAGTTTGACTATGCCAGTGCTTCATATTAAGCTTTTTACAATATATAATCCATGCTAAATACATATTTTGGTTGTGCTTTTCACATAAATCTTAGGATGAGAAATTATAGAAAGCCGGTTGCAAATATCAGTGGGTATTTTTTAAATTTTTGAGGGAATCATTTGTGCATTATAACATGTCTTCAATGTGTTGTTTAATTCCTTTTCATTGTGCTATGTCCCATTTTCTTATTTAGAGCACTTAGATATGGAAATAAAGACATTAATTCATACATTAAAGTGATTTCAAATAAATTATATGCGCTAGAACTTAAAGAACACTTAAATATGCACTTAGCTTTTTAAAAATACTTTTATTTTCTGTTATTGTAAGATACAAGAGTGGAGGTAGGTGCAAAGTATTGTCAACTTGGTCCAGTGCTCCTGCAGTCTGGGATTAGAGGCTGGGAATCTCAGGGATGATTATAGTACAGCGTATTGGAACTTTTTGGTCAGAGAAACTTTCTGATCTACTTTTCTTTTTTTGAGACAAAATCTTGCTCTGTCACCCAGGCTGGAGTGCAGTAGCATAATCTCAAGTGCAACCCCCACCTCCCAGGTTCAAGTGATTCTCAGGCCTCAGCCTCCTGAGTAGTTGGCATTACAGGCATGCGCCACCATGCCCAGCTAATTTTTGTATTTTTAGTAGAGACTGGGTTTCACCATGTTGGCCAGGCTGGTCTCAAACTCCTGACCTCAAGTGATCCGCCTGCCTCAGCCTCCCTAAGTGCTGGGATTACAGGCATGAGCCACGGCGCCCGTTTGGATTCACTGTTTATATTTCAAAGCTGTTCAAACATAGATATACTGTAACAAAAGACAATGCATTGCTTACACTCAGAACATGCAGTGCATTCTAGTTTTCAGTTCATTTTGCTAGTGCTGCTTTTGACCAGTTAATCTATTTTACAACCCATTAAAGGTTTGAGAACCACAGTTTTTAAAAAGTAATCTAAAGACAGAATAGTGAATTGAGATGTACTCTGAGTTTTTCTTCCTAATGGCCTTTTAAAAGTGTTTGTGTTTTGTGTCTGGTGAAAAATAGATCTCATGCTAGGATCCTCAAATGAGATTTGGAATTAAAAAATTTTTTTTCTTGTAAATTAAAAGCATTCTGTCTGAATTGAGTTGCCTGTGAAAGATAACTATAGTATAATAGAGTGCTTTCAAGGAAATTATCCCTCTGGCACTTAAAGTTTAATTAGACTAAGTTTTGAACAAAACTCATAGTAAAAAAAAAAGTGGATAAAATCCAACTAAAGAATGTGTTTACATTTATTTTGCTTTTATACTTTTTCATAAAATTTATACTGAAGTTTTAAAATATTTTAATTGCATCAAATTAATTTGCCTTATTTGCTACTAACTTTGTCTTTGATTTCATATCTGTGCTTTTGATATTGAATGGGAAAAGACTTGTGCAACTATTTCACCAAGTATTTTTGCAGGGACACTTAGTCGGTCTGGATGAACCAGCTTCGGGAGCTGGGCAAGAAGCTCTGCTTAAACAAGAGCAAGCAAAAATCATTCGATTCGAGAGACAAGCAGAAGAATTCCTCAATGCAGTCTTTTATAGAAAAGGTTGGTTTCAGTGAAGATGATATTTAGCATCTGCTTGTCTTGTATTATTAATCTCCTTAATTTCGATGTCATTTTTAAAGTTCCTCTTAAAAAGATTTTTCTTTATTGATGATATAATTTATATTGTTCTATATCCCTTGGGTCACGTTCAAATTGGAATTAGGGTTAAGGTAAACCCTGTTTGCCACATTTAGGCTCTGACGTGATGGTGAGTTAATAGTTTAGAAAATTATTACGAAATTCTAAAAATGTTAAGCTCTCAGTAGTACTATATTTTGTTAGACAACTTATAGAGACAGTTACTGTTTTAATCACTGATAACTAAAACCAACTGTGGTTTTTTTTTTCTTTTAGTGATTCCAACCTGAAATTTCATTTGGAGAGAAAATGTAGTTATATCATAAAATTAGATTTGTAAGCATTTTTTTCCTTGATACAGTCTTGTTTCACAAAAATTTTCTATATTAAAATTAGGGAAATTATTATGTAGTAAAACTTTTCCCGCTGCATTTGAGGTGGCATTTAATAGCTCACCCTCTTGCATTTTTAAAATTTATCTTTCTCCTTGAAACTTTTGTAGGCATATTTTACATTTCTTTTGAAATACAGAAAAGTTCTTCAGTCATGGAGTCTTGAGGCTTATAAATCCTTCATAGAGGCATTCAGATTTATTCTCTATTCACAAAGCATAATTGCCATCAGCCAGAACCTTCAGGAAAGTTCCCTTCATATTGCCTTCTAGTGAACAGTCTTTACTTTTAAGAAATTCTAAATGGATTTATACTTCTTATACTTTTCCTCCATTTCCAAGATGGTGGTTACTATGATGGGTTCTAAAAGTTTCATACAAACTCTTGATAATCTTAAATATTCTTATTTAATCTTCAGCAGACTCAGTGATTCCATTTTCTTTAATAATTCTTCATATGTTCTAGTTTACACCTCTCATTCCTCTGGAAATTCCCTCCTTCCCTTTGACATTGGTTAAAAGTCTCATAAGTGCTGGTTCTGTTGGGTTTCTTTACAGTTGGACACTAACTGGGCTTCTGCTTAATGTGATCAGTATTTCCAAAAGGTGGTGTGAAGTGCAGTGTCATATAAAATTAAGAAATGCACAGAGATTATTGTGTGTGGCACTTTTTTCCCCATTTTCTTCCATGAGCACTCTAGGCAGAATTAAATCGTTTAGTACATCCTTAATTCTCTGTAAACACCCACTAGCATCTCCTGACCTAAATCTCCCAGCTCAGTCTCCTATGTCTTATTATTCCTGCACACTGCTCAGAATTCCAAAATTACGTTCAAAATAATTGTTTTTTTAGTTTTATGAACATTTGATTGTTAAAAGCAAATTTAAGTATCAACAACTGGTAGAGCAGTTCTGTCAGTTTGCTTACCAAATAAAATGTCTTTGCAGCTCCTCTCCTGAAGGATGTACACAGAGTCATTGATCTGATGTGTTGTTATAGCAAGCTTCATTATCTGAAAAGAGGACTTCCTCTCCCTAATTTACGTGGAGGAACCACTTTTCATCCACTCTTTGCTTAGGGGACATTAATAAGGTCAATCATAAGACTCCTACAGAAAAGTTCTGTCGCACTTTTCTACTAGTCCCATCCCTTTGTCATAGAGGAATAACTTTAAAGTTTTTATAAAGTTTTAAGAAATTAAGCTTCTGGTTTATAACCGTTAGGGGAGGAATTCGTACCTCAGAATCAGTCTCAGGATAGATTTCAAAAGATGGGAATGCTCTGAAATTGTAAGTTGAGTTTATTTGTTTAAGTACAGGCATGTGATGCCCAGAGAAAGAACTCTTGCTCTGGAATTTGGATATTTTCTTCCCCTTCATGTATTAATATTGATATTTTTAGGTATAATTCTCTTGTAACCATCTCCAAGATAGCCATTAGTACTCTTTAAATTAATACCGAAAATGTTTAGTATCCAGGGATATAATGGACATTTTAATCTGAAGAGAATCTTTTGTTTTAATAAGTAATTCAGATGCTTAGATTTGGTCCCTTGTTTCAAAGTATTGTAAATTCTGTGTTTTAAATAATTTGTGTAAAGATTATGTATAGTTAAGTAGAAACAGAGATGGAATAAAAGTAGGCTTTTATGATATGGAATCCATAATAAATTTCATTTTAAGAACAGTAAACCTTCTACAAATGTCATAATGACATTTCTTTTCAGCTTGCTTTGTCACTTGTATTAAAAAGGTTAGATTTGCCTTTTAAGATATACTGTGATGTAACATGTTTTTCTGCAGTTTTATTTTTGATCTGATTTGTTGCTTTTATTTGACTCAGTTGTGCTGTGTTCTCCTGGGTGTGGATATGTTTGTAGATGTGTATTTTAAGTATGTCAAAGAATGAAATCTGTTCAATAAATTTTCACAAGATAGAGAAATTCAAATGGCAGAGATGTATTTCATAAACACTGTCTTGTCTCATGACTGTGTTTTCATTCAATAAAGAGACAAGATTCTGCAGACATTGAGTGCTCAAAGATAGTGGTCTATGGTCCTTGTCCTAATATCTTTGACTCTTCACAGAGCTCTTTATTAATACTACTTAAACACAGAGGCATCTCATAAATTCATAAATTTTATTTTACTTTTTATATGGAAATTTCCTTTATGTATTACATGTTCTCCAACTATTCAGGGGTGAAAAGGTAAACTAATGTACTAAAACTTGAAATTTATACAATGGGTCATATGGAGATTTATGTAGGGAGAAAAATGGGTCTTAACTGGAAAGTTAAATGACTATTAAGAAAATTCAGTGGATGGAGATATTTAAAAAGCAGTGTATGTATAAAATGTTTATTAAAACACTGAGGAACCATTTTCAGTAACTGTAGCAACTTCTGAACCTTACCTGGTTCCATACCTTTATTTTTAAACCACCGGAAATACTTATAGTCTCTATTTATGGAGAGGACATTTCAAGTTATAAATACTGCTTAGTATGACAGAAACATTGTTACTAGTAGAGTGAGCCTCACTAAACCCCAGAAGATGAAATAAATAGCACAACTTTGTGAGCATCTTCTGGTATTATCATCCTTTAGGGGGAAAAAAAACCTGTTCTTAGGAGTCCTATGAGGTTTTGATGATGTATTTGTTTGTTTGTTGTTTATTGTGGAGATTTTAGATTTTAGTAATTAGAGTCAGTTTTTCTTTAACTTTATAAATTAAACTCTTAATTTGTAAGTTCCTTACAGCTCCAAAATACTGTGGGTAAAGTTATTTGCCTTCTATAGCTAATCTTTAAAAGACTAAAGAAACCTTGGTTTCCTAAGAACTGTCTTGGAAAGCCTCAAAGGTGTCTTGGGAAGCAAAGGTCACAGGTAAAACAGTAAGACCAGGGGAAGAGTTTTAATCGAGGGTCTATCACTAATCACCTATATAAATTTGTAGTGGCCACCTACTCTTTTGATCACATTTCCCTTTTTTTTTTTTTTTAAGGACTATTTCATGTTGATTGACTACTTAGTATTCAACTAAATTGAATACACACTTTAGACCAGGCAAGATTAGGTATATAGAGGTACACAGAGGTAAACACACACATTTTCTTCGTTTTATTTTTTTTAAAAGGGCTATTTCATGCTGATTGATTTGATTGACCTGTTTAGTATTCAGCTAAATTGAATACACACTTTAGATCAGGCAAGATTAGGTATTTAGAGGTACACAGAGGTAAACACACACAGTCTCAGCTCTTGAGAAGCTTAGTCTTCCTGATTGACTATTATAGTGTGGTAATTATAGAGGCATGATGATGATATATTTATACAAGTCATTTTCCCTTTCATCTTAACCTCTTTTGCCCTTCAGAGTCTCTCCCAGTGCTAAAAGGTTTTTGAGTTAATGAGTTCTTATGGTCTAAACTTAACACTGACTAGATATTGATAATTTAGATGTTTATTTCATTATTTCCCTATTGTTTTACTAGTTGACAGAGTTTATTTAAAGTATCCTTGGAAAATACGTGGTTTTTCTTAGGTTTTTGAGATTTGACATTTAAACACCTAGCCCAGAGGTTCTGAAATTGTGGTCCCCAGACCAGCAGAATCTAAGAACTTGTTCGAGTGCCAGTTGAGTGCCAACTTGAGCCCACCCTAGAACTACTGAATCAGAAACTGGGGAGAGAACCCAACAATCTGTTTTTGCAAGCCATCAAGGTGATTCTGATGAACATTAAAGTGTGAGAATGGTTGCCCTAGCCTAAAATGGATCTGAAAATTAAGTATCTCCTTTTATAATCTTGGTATGCCTTCTGTCTTTAATATAAAGTAAATTCAGCACTCATGAACTCAGTAATGCATTCTTCAAATATTTAGGAGAAGGTGACTGAGGAAAAAATCTAGGGAAACCTGATGTGACCTATAGGTATGTTAACATGAGAGTAATTATTTCCTAAGAGAAGGGTTTTGGGATTTCTGTGTCAGGTAAGTGATTCTTGCCCAGAAGATATTCTAGTTGTTATCCCTTTATTTAATTTCATAATGTTCAATTATTATATGGGGGAAAATGTTTAGAATTATTTTAATGAAAATTTTATTTTTAAAAATCGGCAACTGAAAAGCTTAGAAAATATAAGTCAAAGGGGAGATACTATTTTTAAGATAACTGCATTTTAAGAAAAATAAAATGAAATTTTATGTTTACTTGAAAGGTGTTTTTTTTTAAGTACATTGTCCCACTTTAAAAGTAAATAAATCTTTATTTACAGACAGTCCCTGGGTCTCCGACCCCAGTATTCCCCTAGTGGCCCGTGAGATCATGCAGCGAATGATCCAACAATTTGCTGCTGAATATACCTCAAAAAATAGCTCTACTCAGGACCCCAGCCAGCCCAATAGCACAAAGAACCAAAGCCTGCCGAAAGCATCTCCAGTCACCACCTCTCCCACGGCTGCAACTACTCAGAACCCTGTGCTCAGCAAACTTCTCATGGCTGACCAAGACTCACCTCTGGACCTTACTGTCAGAAAGTCTCAGTCAGAACCTAGCGAACAAGGTATGGTCTGATGTCAAGGTCTCCTCTATCTTATCAGAATACTTTAATTTAGGGAGAAAAAAAAAAGTGTTGGCAAGTAGAGCATCAGCAACAATAATAGCATAAAAACTAATGTGATTTTTAAATTATTTCTTACTATGCAATGATGGAGAAGTACAGCTAAAGTTGTTACAGCCTTATCTGTCAGCAGTTCATGGTCATGATTGATGTACCACTCAGGAAAGTCAGGTGGTTAACAGTTGTCACTAATCTTTCATTTGCTTGATATTTATATAAGCATTTTATATTTTCCATAGTATTTTTATGTTTTTTAAAACTCCTATGGAAAAGTGAGTTTTCCCCTTAACTATAAATTTTCTAGGACGAGCACCTATCTGAGAAATATGCCTCTACTTGTAAGTATAAGTTATATGCTCTGCAAATGAGATCATAAGGAAAAACATGTATTTGAATTTTGAAAAAGAAACTACTAGGGTTACAAATAGAGAAAGCAGCAAAACATACTTTAGGTTGTTAAGTATATTCAATGTTTTATAAATACAGAAACACATACATAAACACACACATCCACTGACTAACTTGAAAGTATTTCCAAAAGGAAATTTGTTGATGAGGACACTAAGTGATGAAGTTAAGAGGTTATCAGTTTTGTTTAGCAAATGTTTCTTGAGTCTCTGAAGTTTATTTTCTTCAGTAGATATTCCTGTTGCTTTGTGATCTCATTTTACCTTTAATTTACAAAAATTGAAGCAAGCATTTCAACTCAGCCACTGTTTGAACCACTACAAATTGTAAATTGGTGATGTCTGTACTAATGAGATTTTATTGTCATAGAAATCTTGAGTATACAGAAAGGTTATGAGATTATGTAGATTTATTGGTGAGAAATACATGCTTATTTTGGAAAATACATTTAATTCTTCAGTAACCTCTTTGAAATGAATTTTCTTTTGAGTAGTTTTCCTTTGCTTTTATCCTTTTCCTGTGTGGTGAACAGCAAACAAAATATCTGAGTTCTGAGAGATTTATTGACAGGAGACCTCCTTGTTCACATTTCTCATGTACCTTTGGTTATCATATTTACAAAGTTGTATCTTTTTTATTGATGATTGTTTTCCACAAATTGGTAGTTTTCATTAAAGATCTCTTCACTCTAAATATTGCGTCAGAAGCTTCAGGTTTATATTAGGAGAATGACAACATAGAATTATATTTAAACTATTAATGGAGGTTAACATAAAATGATATCACTTAGTCTAATTTAACTGGTTATAACTACTGTTACACTTAAGAGATGATACGTTGTATTGACAGCATGCTCTTACAAAGAGGAATTTGAACTACATGATAGCATTATAGTATGTAGACTTCAAATGAAGTAAAAAAATTTTTAATTATATTTCCTTAATGAATGTGTTTTCAACTAAAAAGCACAATATTTTTAGTAGTAGACTTAAAATATATTGCCTGTTTGATTAGACAAATTGACTATTTGACTTGTCTTTAAATAATAGTGTCTTTGGTTGGAAATGTTGTAAGCAGTACATTTGCTACTTAGATGTATAATTGGGTTAGATGTCTAATAGGATAATTGGTTCTATAAGCTTATAATTATATTTTTAGAAATATTAGTGACTCTAAAGGACGAAACTCTTACTTATGAGTGTAGTGATTTTTTGTTTACAAACTCAGTTGCCTGTTTATTTCTAACAGGCTGAAATAAAATGTCCTCCGATACAATTTGTAAGTAGCTTCTACCCTGGGGTAATTTTTAACGTAACTAGATTGTAAGACCCCTCTGCTGGCCAACTGAAAGTCAAAGACATTGTGTATTATCTTATTCTGTTAATTTCGGTCAGAGTGGTAGCTTTAAAATATTTCTTTTCCAGGTATTTCAATAAGGAGAAAAATGTCTTTGAGGGAAAAGAAAGTCTTCTAATTTTATGTATTAACATGAATTTGCGATTTGGTCTAGTTGCAGTAAAAAATGGTTGTACTTCCAGGCTCTCATCAATATCAAGACAGTTTCATTCTTCTTTCTTTCAGCTTTCTTCACCAATTTTTAATGTCTTCTTAATTGAAAAATTCTTACATTCGTAAAATCCAGTAATTGAATTTTGAATCTCTGCAATTTTTTTTAAAAGACTGAATACAGGCCGGGCGCGGTGGCTCACGCCTGTTATCCCAGCACTTTGGGAGGCGGATCACCAGGTCAGGAGATCGAGACCATCCTGGCTAACACGGTGAAACCCCGTCTCTACTGAAAATACAAAAAATTAGCCGGGCGTGGTGGCGGGCGCCTGTAGTCCCAGCTACTCGGGAGGCTGAGGCGAGAGAATGGCGTGAACCCGGGAAGCGGAGCTTGCAGTGAGCCGAGATCGTGCCACTGCACTCCAGCCCGGGCGACAGAGCGAGACTCTGTCTCAAAAAAAAAAAAAAAGATTGAATACAAGTATACATTTTTTATAGTGGTCTAGAAAACTATTAGGACACACCCAAATCATAAATCATTAACTAATTCATCTTATAGACCATCTTGTTTAGTATATACATGTGCTTTAATGACAAAAACTTACATTTAAAAACAATTTTTATATCTTATTTAAAATTTTCTATATCCAACTTGTATGTACTTTTGGAGTTTCAGGTAGATTTAGCTCTTGAGGGATTTGGTTCTATAGTTTGTATGCCACTGTGGGACATTAAAAACTTGTATGCTTTGATCAAGGAAAATTTAGAAAATGGAGTCTTAAAAATTCTGGTAACAGCGGACCTCATGCTATGTAAACTGCTATTTCTAGTATTTCACTATATCTTAACATCTTCAGTAATATGTTTTACCTTTTCTTTTTGCCCCATTAATAATATATTTAGCCCTTGAGGATATTAAGTATAACATGCCTTGCTAAATTTATGTTGTTTCAGGATTGAATTGATTTTTATAACTCAAATATATGACTAGCGTATCTGCTTAGTTGAATAAGCCTACTTACTGCTTTTTCATTTTTAGCCTACTCAGTTTACATTTGCTCCTAGCTTTTAATATCCTCAGGTGTTTCTTTGTGTCTCTGCAGACGGTGTACTTGATCTGTCCACTAAGAAAAGTCCATGTGCTGGCAGCACTTCCCTGAGCCACTCTCCAGGCTGCTCCAGTACTCAAGGGAACGGGTAAGGGAGAATATTTGTAGCCTTACACAGTTTCATATAGATAATTCATCAAAGGTTGATGCCAGTCTCCTTTTACATTTTAAAAAATAACCCTTCTAAGTAAGTCATTTATAACTATGGACCATAGATCAAGTAAAAATGCAATCTGTGCAAAGTAAAATTGGCTAGTACAGATGAGTTTTTGTCAATTTAGTACAAATAGTAAATAACCATGAGTATGGCAATTATTTCTTTAGACTTTTTGTTGTGGCATGTTTTGGAGTGTGAAACTCAAGTTAAATAATTCTAAAGTTTAGATATAAAGACATTGTTATGTGTGTTGAAGCAGTTTAATGAAAATTGAGCTCCAATACTTGGTATCTCTAGTGGGATTTGTGTGTATGTGTGTCCATTTTTGTTTCTTTTGGGTTTGATTTTGGTGGTTGATTTAAACCGTACTTTAACTCTGGCAGTTCAGAAAATGTAGTTTTCTGAAAGACTGATTGTAGATGTTGATGCATAACCATCTTAGGCTACCAAGACATTATTACTTGCTCAGTTTTGATAACGCTTAGGAGACTAAAGTAAATTCTCTGACTCCCTGATTTTATAGTATAAGAACTGTCTTCTCCCTGTGTGTATCTAATAACCAACTAGAAAAGTCAGATAGTAATAAAGACATTCAGATACCATGTTGAAAAGCATGTCTATAAAACTGTGTGACAAAAAATCAACTTTATCTAGATACGAAAAATAACTTGGTAAGTTTAAATTAGTTAATACTTAGTCTTATTTAACTTTCAGATTATCAATGTGGGGAAGTTACTTAGATATTAAAGGAACAAGTGGATGCTAAGTGGACTAACCTCTTCCAACTTACTGTTAACTACCTTCAAATAGAAGGATTCCTTTACAGACTTCTAAAATCTCCCTTTCTCTAAAATTCCAAAACTTTTCATTTCCAGAAAGTACTAATTTAGTCCATTATGCATAGTTTACTAATCTTTTTCTTAACCCTTTCTTTTCACTATGGTTTATACTAGATAGAAGGCAGCATGTTCCCAAATCTTTGGGTTCTATTTATATATCAAAAGATACTTGAGCCGAGTGTGGTGGCTCACGCCTGTTATCCCAACACTTTGGGAGGCTGAAGTGGGCAGATCACCTGAGGTCAGGAGTTCGAGACCAGCCTGGGCAATATGGCAAAACCCCGTCTCTACTAAAAATGGAAAAATTGGCCAGGCGTGGTGGTGTGCACCTGTAGTCCCAGCTACTCAGGAGGCTGAGTTGGGAGGATTGCTTGAGCCCAGAAGGTCACAGCTGCAGTGAGCCATGATCACAGCACTGCACTCAAACCTGGCTGACAGAGCGAGACCCTGTCGCCAAAAAAAAAAAAAAACCTCGAGTTGTGTAATTTAAGGACACATGTAAAAGTCCATGTGCAGTTTGCATAAACACATCCTTTGCTTAAGATTCACTGTAAACTTGGCTACCAGGTTCATGTATTATATGGCTGAAGTTGCTGTTTTTGTCCCTCTGAATGGAAAGTGTTTTCTACTGGTTTTATGGAAGAAAAATGCACCAATAGGATTGCCCATCTTTTAGTTGAATATTCAGTGTTATCCTAATTGTGTTACTGATGATAGTAGTCCCCATACAGTTTTGTAGAACATAACTGGTTTATCATTTCTGAGAAGCCCTCTTTTACGCCTAGTTAATGTAATCACCCCCTTGGGCGTGTTTTGCCACATGTCAGTCTTAATATTGATAATCTTTCCCTATTGTGAAAGTCAAAACCTTATGAATTAACTTTGTCTAAATAATTGACTTTTTAAACATTATTTGAAAGCCGTCCATTTGAAATTTCAAAATAGGTGTTGGTATTTCAAGAAGGGAGGTTTTTTTTTAAGCCAGAGAAAACTGCTAAAAACTTGTTTATATCCCTCTGACAGTAATTACCTTGAGTAGAACTTAAGGGGTAAATAAAGAGTAATTTCTTTTAAGCTTGGATTATTTCAAATGGAAAATCATGATACTCATGTATCTGCAACTAGTAGTGTTTTAAAATGAAGACATGTGGTAAGTTATAATGCAGTGGGTCTTTTGGTTTGGTTTGTTGGGGAGTTTTTTTTTTCTCCTTTGGGGCTGTTAGCCATATATACATATTTTTCCCCCCCAAGCAAAATAAGCAATATTATTTGGAATTGTTTGATTTTTGATGATGAATATCAACTTGTTTGTGGGATAAATGAGCAATTATCTATGGGTTCCAGTAATGTATATGGTTTCAGTTTTAAAACTAGTTGTCATGAATGTTGAATATATTGAATTAAAATAACTAATTTGGCTTACTCTTTTATTACTGTACTTGTTTAGTGGTAACGTCACATTGGCAACACAATTCTGTGTAGATCTATGGAGAGTGATGATTACTTTGTAATTAATAATTAAGATGCTATTTTCAGACAGTTGCGCGAAACTTTTTCTCCGAAAATTTGTGAACCCAACCAGAGACCAGCTGACAGGTTTAATTTTTCTTTGCCCAAAAAGCTCCTGATTTTTTTTCTTTTTCCTTTTTCCTTTTTTGTGAACAAGTTTTAAAACTAACTGCCGAGACCATTTTTTTTTTAATTTTAGAGAAAAATAAATAAATAACACAAAGTGATGTTACCCAAGCAAGGCCTTCTAATAAAGGAGTGGTCCCCTCACCCATCCCTCCCTACCTGTGCAAGTCCTGCTCACATCAGTTTCCTTCCATCCAATTAGGCGACCTGGGAGACCCAGCCAGTACCGCCCAGACGGACTTCGGAGTGGTGATGGGGTACCTCCAAGAAGCTTACAGGATGGAACCAGGGAAGGTTTTGGACACTCCACATCACTCAAAGTTCCACTGGCTCGATCCCTGCAGATTAGTGAAGAACTACTGAGCAGAAACCAATTGTCCACAGCTGCCAGCCTTGGGCCATCTGGATTACAGAATCATGGACAACACTTAATATTATCCAGGGAAGCCTCTTGGGCAAAACCACATTACGAGTTCAACCTCAGCCGTATGAAGTTCAGGGGAAATGGTGCACTCAGCAACATCAGTGACCTTCCTTTTCTTGCAGAAAACTCTGCTTTTCCAAAAATGGCACTTCAAGCAAAACAAGATGGAAAAAAGGATGTGAGCCATTCATCTCCTGTAGATTTAAAGATACCACAAGTTCGAGGAATGGATCTTTCTTGGGAGTCTCGCACTGGTGATCAGTACAGCTATAGCTCTTTGGTAATGGGTTCACAAACGGAGAGCGCGCTTAGTAAAAAATTAAGGGCTATTCTTCCAAAACAAAATAGAAAAAGCATGTTAGATGCTGGACCCGATTCTTGGGGCTCAGATGCTGAGCAGTCTACCTCTGGACAGCCATATCCCACATCGGATCAAGAAGGAGACCCTGGCTCCAAGCAGCCTCGGAAGAAAAGAGGGCGTTACAGACAGTACAACAGTGAGATACTGGAGGAAGCAATCTCAGTGGTTATGAGTGGAAAAATGAGTGTTTCCAAAGCTCAGAGTATTTATGGGATTCCCCACAGTACACTGGAGTACAAAGTAAAAGAGAGGCTGGGCACTTTGAAAAACCCTCCAAAGAAAAAGATGAAATTAATGAGGTCGGAGGGGCCAGATGTTTCTGTAAAAATTGAATTAGATCCCCAGGGAGAGGCAGCACAAAGTGCAAATGAATCAAAAAACGAGTAGGAATACTGTAGAGTGCCAATTACTGTACAAACTGGGTGAGCACTACTGCATCATTGTTCAGCTATCATTGCTTGCACATAATTTCATTTACTGTGACACTTGTTTCTTTGCAGATTTTGCATTGACTTGTGTGTACAGAGATGAAATGTGCATTCTGAATGTTGCATATTTTAAATTTTTCATGTGCAGTATGGCTCGGAATATGTTTGGCCTTTTGCATGTTTCTCTACAAAAGAGAATTGAGTTACCTCACAGAGAACAGATACATGGAAGTGGACTCCTTGCCTGTAGAGCCTGCATGCTTTTTTGTTTTGTTTTGTTTTTTTGTTTTTTCTTAAGTTATATTTGTTTTTACTTTTTAAAAAAGAAGAGGAAAAAAAGCCCCCTTTTAGAAACTACGTCTGTCATACTGGGAGCTTTATCACTGCAAATTGGAAAGCCATCTTATAATACAAAATTACTCACATTTTTCATCTACGATTCAACTAATTGAAGGATTAAACTAAAGAAAAAACTAAGAAGAACAATGAACCTTTGAATTTGAGAAATTTGGTTATTCACTGACATAATTATTGGGTCATTTATAGTTACACTTTATGATTTTCTTCTCACTATTAAATTTACTTAACAAATTAGCAAGCTATTAGTGCTCACCCAGAGGGGAAGGCGGTGGAAAATGTGCACACACTACCTTCAGAAATGCTTCAGTTAATTACTTTGAACACTACCTTTGCTGTAATTTCATTTGAGATTTTCTAAGGGTAGAATTTGGTCTCACCAACAAGTGAGGATATAGCCTTATCTCATGGAGGACGAGCTCCGTATTTACTCAGGAGCAGTCAGGGTACATTACATAAAACAATGGAGGATGCCTCATTTTAGCAAACTAGGTTTCTTTGTAATCTTCAGTCCTTTTACAGAATTGATGTGCTAACTGACTGAGTATCGTTGAAGCAACTAAATTAAGATATTCAAGATCTGTTTATTGGGGATGGGAGAAATAGGGAAAGAAATGTGTGTAACTAATTATGATATTGCAAAAGTGATACTTAGATTTTACAGCCTCAGTAGTCTGCCCAGTATCCACGTTAATGAAGGATCCATGTTTGTAGTGAGAGAAGAAAAACAACCCCAAGGTAACCTGATAAGATTTAGGATGCATATCAGTTCTAACAATAATTCAATCAGAAGTCAAACTCATTGGAATTCCTTTTTTAACTGATCCAAATACTAGTAGAAGGGTGGGAGAGGTTTTTTTTTTTTTTTTTTTTAATTTTGTTGGTTAGAATTATTTTCTCTTTTTTTGGCATCCGACATAATACCCCCTTCTTGACTTTTTCTGATAATTAGCTGATATTCGTGGTTGTTTAGCACACAGTTCAGGACCTTTGAGATCATGTTTGTATAAGCACTCCTTGAAGAATATCTAAGCTTTTTTTGAGATGGGCTTTTAAAATGAAAGTAAGGAAAGTTTATTTTCTGCGGTTTTTGCAAGAATAAGCAAAGCCCATGGAATTTAATTTTTCATTGTGATCAGATTACTATTTGTGCAAAACAAAATCCACACCACATACACTGTATATTCTAATCTGCTGAGAAAGGTGGTCAGGCCCTTCTAAATGCTTAACCAAAAACAAACATTGGAGTTTCAGTATGTAAAATAAAATTAAACTTGGAGCGTTGGTTAGATGTTGATTTCAGATGGATACTAACAGTTTGAGGGGAGGTCCAGATATTTCCAAGGCATAAATTCTTGCCTGGAAACTTTGGAGCAACTAATTAAATTAGGTTAAGTTTTCCCTCAACACACCTTTGTGTGTTCAAAGGTTAGGCACACCATTGCTGTTATTAAAATACATGTACTGCTCATTCTTGACATAGCTTGGGTGTGGGTTCCTCTTGATTTGGTTATTTTGTGTAGCAGTTTAATCAGTGGATAACTGAGCCTGTTTCCCCTTAGATTTCTAGACTTCTTAACAGAAAAAACAGTTTGGGTTCAGTAGCATTTTATAATTCTACAATATTTTGTCACCTAGCTGGAAGTTGCAATAAAAATTCCTTTTGAAATGTATGGTTTTCATCTGCAATTGAAGGAAATCTTAGAAAGTTTGCTGAAAGCAAAGGACTAAGCTTATGAAGGAACGCCTCCTTTGTTACACACTTAAGAATTTGTCAGCACACAATTAATTGCAGCCATAGTACCTTTTTGTGTAATGTTTGGGATATTCAGTAGCCCAGGATTGCTGCAAAAAGGTTCTTTGAGAAAATTAATTTGTGCTTGCTTTTATCCCCTCTCAGAAAGACATCACTAAAGGCCCATTAAAAATCTGGCCCTAAAAGTTCAACTTTTGTAGAGTTTACTGTTCAGAGAGGTTTAATCCTATGTGGTAGTCTATATAAGTGATGTATGAGTTGAGTTATGTAAATTTTGTCATTGTAGTGTACATGGAGTGATCATTTTACTAACATAAATATTTTCTATGTGTGTTTCAGTGGATGACAATCGAGCAGCAGAAGAATGGTGTGCCTACCCTTTAATGCTGCAGTTTAAATAAGAGAACTTGTATTGTGTCATTTCAGATTGTAGGCTGAGAGTTGTAAATAGTGAAAATTTGAGTACTTCTATTATTTGTTTTGGTTAGAAAGTGAATTTAAAAAACAAACCAAACTCTAAACTTTCTCAGATTAAAAGTCCTGAGACCTGAAGATTGTAATATTCATGTCTGTGAAGCTTTTAAACATTACACTTGAGATCAGTCATGACTTGATATTCAGGTAAATTTTCTTTTCCAAGAAGCTTTTGAATAAGCATATTTCCTCCAAAGGTCTCTCTCTTTCTCTCTCTTTTTTTGAGTGTAGATTATTTTAAAGCACTAATTGCATTACATTGGTAACTGCAATATAAAATAGCCATTATTGTTTTGTGAAGCATGGTTGAAATTAGCTAGTGGTCCCTTTTAAATTTCATGAGCCTCTCAAAAAAGAAAAACTTAAAAAAAAAAAAAAACAAAAAGCTGCTGGAATATTTCGAAAGATATATATTTTACCTTATTATAGGTTTTGTAAAGTTAGTTTGTAATATTCAGGTGCACTTTTAATGTTAAATTTTGTGTTCAGAGTTCCATTATACCATGTATTTCTCGGAGGTGGCTCATCACACGGCTGACTGGCAGTCTTGGTGTTGCAGTGATTCCTTAATATTTGATTTATATCTTGATTCGCCACTATTCTGTATTGGCACTTTCAGTGTAGATATTCTGGTTTGGGGATGTCCTCACAAATGTGTAATAGAGATTGGTCTATTAGCACGCTTAATTTCTGCTAATCAGAGTTTTGCATGGCCCAAACAACAGTTGACCATTTTTATGGTATGGGAAAGTGTAGTTCACAACTGTCTTTGTCATGAAAGCTATTTTTCCTCACATTTTCCAGTAGGCAGATAACATTACTTAAATTATTAATATATAACACTCTTGGAACTATTGATAGGAAATAATGTATTTAAAATAATTTTTTGCATTTTCAGAGAACCTTGATATTATAGGGTAGATACGCTATGGCACTATAAAATCAAAAACACTAATTCTGTGCAAGGATATCTAGTTGGTATTTTTATTTTTAGCTTTCTCATTTCTGAGACAGCGTGGTCATCCAGCTTGACAGTAATGTAGTATATTACTTTGGTCAGTGGGCTTATAAGTGACTCTGAATTATGTTTGTGATGAGCTATACACTTTTTTTCTGTTCCCCAAATACCATGAAGGACAAGGTCACTCTTTCAGGAAAAATAATTTATATTTGTGTATAATACTTTTTAATATTAAGTTTGTTGTTCTGAAGTTTAGATGTTGCTTGATAAACCTTTGCTGCAGCAGATCATGAATATGAGTAAGGCTTTGTGTGATAATAGGGGTCCTTATGTGAAGTTAATTACTGTTCAGTTCTGGTGAGCAAGCTCAACAAGTGTGAAGTGTGTATTAGCTTTATTTGGTACACTTTTACTTTATGATATTGAAGTGCTTTTAGAACTCTGGTTATCTTATATAAACCATTACCTCAACCAATTGGCATTTCTTTTCCCCAACATTTATCTTAGCTATAGTATGAGCTATGTGGGATCAGATGGTAAAAACTATAAAAGGCACAATGAGAAGTTTAGTTCCCAAGTTTCGGAGAGAACTCTAAATTAGACTAAAAACAACTACCTGTTAACACCAGTATCATAACTACCTTCTGTCATTAGGCAGTACATAGCAACCTTTGAGCTACTAGTGAGCTATCTGTTCTCCCTCTACCCCCAAGTAAGCACACAGTGCCAGGCCTGGTTCTAAGCCTTTGTGATTCTCTTACATCTCATTGACCCATAATAGTGAAGCATGGATTCATTTCTTTTCATAAAACAAATTGAGTCAGCTCGATGTCAGAAGCTGAAAATATTTTGAGTAGTTATAGCAGTTATATGACAGATTGGCATCATTTTCTTTAACAGCTTTTATCTTTGTAGATTTCCTTTTGAGACCATGTATTTTTGCTTTTATAATTCTTTCATTAAATTGAGGTTGTTTTCATATTAACCAGTCTTTTCTGTGTATTCAGGTTGCTGTCATTGGTGATAGAATATGGCAATAGACAGAATTGTGTTCCACTTTATGTTTTATAGGAGATATTGAAAGTTATACGCTAAATTTTGGCCTTCTTGAGGATATCAAAGATTGTTTTCCTTGTTACCTTTAATTAGAATTTGGTCTTCATTAATGCTTTGGTCAGGCTAATATTACTAAAAACTTGATGGCTTCAGCAGAACAGCCCATTTAGGAGACTATTAAGCTATCTAGGAATTTTTTAAAGAAAATTAATTGCTTTCAAAATCTGCAAAGGAAAAACGTATAATTGTGGTACAAAGAAGACAGAACTCCAGGCTCTTTCTTCTTAGTTTATTTTGGTTTAATTCTGTACTGGAGACTTGAATAGCATTTGTGAACATGGTGATGGGAAGAAAAATAGAGGACATTATTTGCGTATCCTCATTCCTGAATAATCTTGCAGTCACCTTTTAAAGAAGCAGACGTTAGCCCTGTAACACAGCACTGTAGCTATAAGCCCTAAGTGTTCGGAAGGAGATTGGGTGGGGAGGGTGGAGTAGGATGGAAAAAGCATGTAGACTTCTGAGAAGAGGCTAAAAATTCTGCCCTGTAATACTAAAAGTGAGTCACAAGATAATGTGGTGAAGTTAGGCCATCTTGATTTGATAGAAAAATCTTGTAGATTGTTTAAAAATGAGAATCGAGGCTAATTAATGTTGATTTGACAATAGAGCATGAGCTAATTCTGCAGCTGTTTGGGGGGTAATTTTACGGTTTCCAGTTCATTTAGAGCTGTATCAAGAAAAGCTAAAAAGCAAGCACTTTTAGTTAATCATAGATTTATTGGATGTAGCAAATATTATTATAATATTTAATCTCTATTATTTGAATGTGGAAATGAACTTTTTACCCCATCTTGAACTGTCATTGAACATGCTCAAGATGATCAACACTGGAAATGACCCTACACACATACCAAAAAAATCTAAAGCAGTAAGACATATTTGAAGATCCATACCTCTTAAACTTTTTAGATTTGTCTTGGGAAAGAATTTATGAACCTGTAACCAGTATTAGTGCAGTCTTGGGTTCCTTGTTCTGCATAATTGCACCCTTTCTCAGGTATGTCCTGACAACATAAATTTTAAAATAATCTCTTTAGAGATTAGATTCTCAGTGGATAGTGTGTAAGGGGACTAGGGGTGGGGGGCTGGGGGTAGCTGGACACAGGACACTGACACAGTAGAGCAGGGATTTTTAACAGTCAGTAGCCAAATAGAATTTCAATCTACAATATTTTTACCCCCTCAGAATGAGCGAAACAACTTCTATTATTTGGTATGCCCGGTGCTACACTCCTAAAAGTCTTTTTTTTCATCCAGGTGGCTTTTTTTATTTTTCCTGCTTGGTGGTGGAAGGTTATATAGTAAACTTCACTGTCACTAGGAAAGCACTTGTCCAAAATGTTTAAAGTACTAGAAAAGGGATAATTCAGCACTTTTTCTGTTACAACACTAAAGTCTTAATTTATCTTCAGAGTCTTAGGTACTGTAAGTTTTAGGATGATTATTTAGAAATATAAAACATACTACATAATATGGAGTCAGATCACATTTATATAAATCTTATTTTAAAAAAAGACAATAACATTTTGTACCTTTCTAGCAATTCCAAGTGATTGCCTCATTTTCTCTTATTAAGCATTTCAAGCTTAAGAATTTGGAATTTGAGAGAAGGTGAGGAGAAAGATTCCCCAAAATAAAAATTTGTTTCAGACCATTTTAGAAAAATAAATCACTAGGAAAATGGGTAGGGATTCTCTCCCCCTTTAAGTCTTCAGGGAATGAGCAGTATTTAGAATCTTTGGCTGAAATTCAAGCCTTTTTACTTTGTAAATTTTTAATATTAATTCACTGACATGCTTTTTACACCAGAGGACTGAAAATGGATCTTAACGTTTTTAAGTTGTGGAAGGGTATATTTCTAAAACGAGGGGGGGATGATTAACTAGGTTAGTATTACCAGCATTAGTAAGTTTAAGGAATTTTAGTATGTAATAGCAAAGTGTTTGATTAAAAGTCTAATCCTATATTGCTAGTCGAAATTAGTTACATTCTGATCTAGGAATGATAATAGTCATTGGATATTGATATGCCGTGCTGTCAGAAAACCAGACTAAGATAGAAACCTTTATCTGATTCCCACATGTTGCTTGTTCTGATGGGATGTATACTTTACAGCAGCTTATTGCTGCTTTGAAAAAAAATGTATAAACTATACATTTGGAGTGTTTGCATATAATTCTTTATAACCTCCACTTAAAGCTGTCAGACATTGGTATTTTATCAGTCCATACTGTTTAATAAAACTAATGTTCTTAGGAATCCAGCTTGTACACACTGTTTAAAAACCCTCAGGGACAGTTTACACACTCTTCTCACTCAATTCAGGTACTTTGATGCTATTCTTAAACCTAACAGTGACTTGTATTTTTCTGTTTTGCTTTTATTTCAACGTGCTGGTAGCACATCTGATGAATGTCAACTTTAAAAACTCAGTTCAGGTATCCAGGTATAACTCAGCCAAACAGATTTTAAAGCTGCATATAACTCTCCAGCACATGGTGCCTCACACTCTTATAGTGGCATTCTATATATTCAGTTATTACTACTGAGCAGATAATATGGGGGTTCCTGTTAACAGTGTATTTTTTTTTTAAAGTACATAAATGTATAGCCAGCACACTACACACACACACACACACACACACACACACACACACAGTTAAACTATGTATTTTTAAATGCCACTAATAGCCAGCACAACTAAAAAGACATTCCTAACTGCTCTGTAAGCTGTTAACAGATGCAGTTCCTTCTTGATGTGGCTCTTGCTTCTTCACGATAACTACTACTAAATTCAAGCACTGGTCCTTGGGTGTCTGACCTCTACATTCTAGTTTATGCAATGTCTTTAGAGAATTTTGTGCACTGGCCACTGTGATGGAACCATTGGGCCAGGAGTGCTTTGAGTTTATCAGTAGTGATTCTGCCAAAGTTGGTGTTGTAACATGAGTATGTAAAATGTCAAAAAAAATTAGCAGAGGTCTAGGTCTGCATATCAGCAGACAGTTTTGTCAGTGTATTTTGTAGCCTTGAAGTTCTCAGTGACAAGTTTTTTGATGCGAAGTTCTAATTCCAGTGTTTTAGTCCTTTGCATCTTTAACGTTAAGACTTGTCTCTTAAAATCGCTTTTGTTTTCTGCAGTACTATCTGTGGTTAACAAAATAGATTATTCCTCTGCTTTAATATTTGATATCTTACATCTAAAATAAATTCTCTCCACATATAAAACCCATAGTCTTTGGAGATATGGAAAATGGCATCTTTCAGATTTCTAGAAGTTCAAGTGTCATACAACTAAACAGGAACCCCCTTTACTCTTATGGACCTCATTTCAATATACTGTTTACAGTTTGATGGAATTGTATAATTTAATATTTCTCTTGTACTGTAGTTTATATTTATTTACAGATTTTTTTTGTACTGTGTGATTTGAACTTTTTGTTCCTCGCTATGATCAATGTTTATGTAGTAGAGCACTTATGATCACAAATTAAGTTTTTTGGTTTGATTGCACTACATTAAATTTTTTAATGCAGTTCTGATTTTTGACTGGACTAAAACTGTGTCTTAATGTATGTGATGAGTACTTAAAATTTTAATCCATGTGGTCCCCCCTCTTTTTTTTTTTTTTTTTTTTTTTTTTTATTGTACGTCTATAGCGCTAGTTCTTGCGTGCAGGTGTGAGATTTAATCGCTCCATTGTCTAATTTGACCATGACATTTTGGAGAAACATTCCCAGCTGTAATGTTGTGTATGGTAGTTCTCACTGGATGCTAGACTTTGCAAAACCACTATTCTTCTAATAAATTTTGTTGTGAAAAACTGTTTCTAAAGCTTGGTTTCTACTTCCTAAGATTTTAGTGCTTTTTGAAAAATTCACAAAATGGGTAAGAGTTGGATTGTACTCCAACTCTAAATACACATGGTAATCAAAGTTAGTGATTTTTTGTGATAAATTCTTTCTAGATGAAATCTCTTAGTTAAAGTTGCTGCTATGAGATTCTGCTTTCATAATTCAGGTGCAATACTGCCTTGTAACAGTGTCTTTACTCATTTGATACCTCGGCACTCAGATTACCTCAGTTTTCTTTGAGGTAATGAATCCAAATGAATAATTGGATTATTCATTTTAAAAAATGTATTCAACTAAAGATACAGTGATGTTTTCATAATACCTTCTTTCTTGAGTGAGTTTTGTATAATTTTCTTAAGAGTATAAAACTTAATGCCAGGATTCCTTATCAGAAAATAATAGTGACTATTTTTTGTTTGCTGTTTTCTTGAGGCATACGTATGAAAGCAACATTGTCAGTCAATTAAGGTTATATGGTAGTTCTCATTCTTGGCAGGATGCTGATAATTCCTTTTACCAGAACACATAAAGAACAGGTATATGTTGGTCAACATTTAAATTTTTTTTTTTTTTTTGAAACAGAGTCTCACTCTGTCACCCAGGCTGGAATGCAGTGGCCCAATCTCAGCTCACTGCAAGCTCCACTTCCGGATTCACATGATTCTCCTGCCTCAGCCTCCCGAGTAGCTGGGACTACAGGCGCCCTCCACCATGCCCAGCTAATTTTTCAATATTTTTAGTAGAGATGGGGTTTCACCACTTAGCCAGGATGGTCTGGATCTCATGACCTCGTGATGCACCCGCCTCGGCCTCCCAAAGTGCTGGGATTACAGATGTGAGCCACCGCGCCCGGCCTTAAATTGTTTTTAGAAATTATAAAGAAGCTTTGCATTATAAAGTGGTGCCTTTTCTAAAGTGGTTAGGAGAGCTGAATTCTAGTACATTATGATTAGAAATAAGAGAAATGTATTTCAGAAAACTACTTTTTCAGGCTCATAATATAATTACTTGTAGGCAATTTGAAGTGATTTTTGATGATTTTTTTTTTTTTTTTTTTGAGATGGAGTATGGCTCTGTGGCCCAGGCTGGAGTGCAGTGGCCGGATATCAGCTCACTGCAAGCTCCGCCTCCCGGGTTTACGCCATTCTCCTGCCTCAGCCTCCCCAGTAGCTGGGACTACAAGTGCACGCCACCTCGCCCTGCTAGTTTTTTGTATTTTTTTTTAGTAGAGATGGGATTTCACCGTGTTAACCAGAATGGTCTTGATCTCCTGACCTCGTGATCCGCCCTTCTCGGCCTCCCAAAGTGCTGGGATTACAGGCTTAAGCCACCGCGCCCGGCCATTGTTGATAATTTCTAATGGTGGTTTTGGTTTTGTTTTTTGAGATGGAATCTCGCTCTGTCACCCATGCTGGAGTGCAGTGGTGCGATCTTGTCTCACTGCAACTTCCATCTCCTGGGTTTAAGCAATTCTTCTGTCTCAGCCTCCCGAATAGCTGGGACTACAGGCGCATGCCACCACGCCTGGCTGATTTTTTTTGTATTGTTAGTAGAGACGGGGTTTCACCATATTAGTCAGGCTGGTCTTGAACTTCTGACCTCAGATGATCCACCCGCCTCAGCCTCCCAAAGTGCTGGGATTACAGGTGTGAGCCACTGCGCCTGGTCTCTAATGGTGTTTTATATTTAAAGATGATGCTATTGTTGTTAATTGGTCTAGTTTATCTTTTAATAGTTTTTGTCACACACAGACTGGCTATCTAGCTGTTTTCTGCCTTTGATGTTTATAAAATAGCAGTTTATATTAGTACTACAGACTTGTTCTGTTGGCTTTATTTGTTCCCCTTAATTATGCCACATACTTAATCAAATTTTTTTGGAAAGCTAATTATTTCACTGTAAGTTCCAAAGCCATAGCTTGCTTGTTTATTGTCATTTCCTGCCATTATTCATTATAAACTGGCGGCCAGATCAGTAGTAAGATTACAGTTTAGCATCTCGTAAATGAATTTGCTTTATTTTAGTGATCCTATCTTCAAATTGATATTCAGCTTTTCAGTTATAAAGGCCCTATTTAAAGAAAGGACTTTTTCTTTTTAAACTGGAATTTTCTCTGATTCTGCTGCTATTTTGGAAATTAATTCAGGGGGCCCTATATCTTAACAGGTGTGGAAATTAGGGAGATTGCATAAGGGAAGTGAAATGCAGGAAACGGAAACTTTTTTTTTTGCCATATCCTGGAGTTGTGAATTTTTTCCCCCTAAGGACTCTCACCAAACACTGTATTCAAATATAACAGCATATGCTCAGGTCATGTGGTATTAGGTTTTGTAGCCAAAATGAGTGAATAATCCTTTTTTTAATAGAAAGTGTTAAGTAATATAGTAGATAAGAGCTCTTGTTACATTGTGTTCACTTTATTTGCTTCTAAAAGGTAAGCATTTTAGCACAGAATTTTATTTACCAGATTCTTACAAATCACTGAACTTCCTTTGTTTGACAGGATCTCATTCTTATTACCCAGGTTGGAGTGCAGTGGTGTGATCACGGCTCACTGCAGCCTTGACCTGCTGGGCTTACATGATCCTCCTACTTCAGCCTCCTGAGTAGCTGGGACTGCAGGCACGTGCTGCCATGCCTGGCTAATTTTTACAATTTTTTGGTGGAGACAGGGTTTCAGTATGTTGCCCTGGCTGGTCTCGAACTCCTGAGCACAAGTGATTCTCCCACTTTGGCTTCCCTAAGTGCTAGGATTATAGGCATGAGCCATCATGCCTGGTCGACTGTAGAGGTTTTATAGGCATGTAAGAATACTACTGTTTCTTGACTAGTCGTTTTTATTTATTTATTTATTTATTTATTTATTTTTATTTATTTATTTATTTTTGAGATGGAGTCTCACTCTGGCGCTATCTCGGCTCACTGCAACCTCCACCTCCCAAGTTCATGCCATTCTCCTGCCTCAGCCTCCCGAGTAGCTGGGACTACAGGTGCCTGCCACCATGCCCAGCTAATTTTTTTGTATTTTTAGTAGTGATGGGGTTTCACCGTGTTAACCAGAATGGTCTCGATCTCCTGACCTCGTGATCCTCCCTTCTCGGCCTCCCAAAGTGCTGGGATTACAGGTGTGAGCCACCGTGCCCAGCCGACTAGTCATTTTTTAATGTTTGTTGTTTATCAGCAGTATGGAGTAGTAATGGTTTGATACTTTTTGAAATAGAGTCTGCCTGTGTCTCCTAGGCTGGAATGCAGCAGTGCGATCTCAGTTCACCGTAACCTCCACCTCCCAGGTTCACAAGCGATTCTCATGCCTCAGCCACTCGAGTAGGTGGGGTTATAGGTGTGTGCCAACATGCCCAGCTAATTTTATATTTTCATTAGCATCGGAGTTTCACCATGGTTGGTCTGCCTGTTTTGGAACTCCTGGCTTCAAGCGATCTGCCCACCTTGGTCTCCCAAAGTGCTGGGATTACAAGCATGAGCCAACACACTTTGCCTGGATTATTATTTTAAAGTTATCTTTCAACTTGGTACACTAGAAAGATCACTTGTTTTTCCTTCTGTAAAGTGAAGGTGTTACAGACTGAATGGTTTTTAGACCTTATTTCAACTCTGAGTTGAAATATTTAAAATGATAGAAAATGTTATTTTCTATTTAATGTGAGACAAATATGCAAATCGTATCTGTACGAACATTGGGAAATACAGTAGAAACTTCATTGAATAAGGTCTTGTAAACCCAGGTCTCACCTTTCCATTGAAATATTTTCTAAAGGAAAAAAAGATCTGGATGTCATGTTTAGATGCCTTTTATTTAAAACAAAGTCTATTTTAAATTTTGTTATGAACGGTATATGAATATGATGATACTTTTGCAAATGTTAACTTGAAAAGTCACTTTAAGTTATGTTATTCATAATTTTTATTTCTGTTGTGTGCAGGGTAGGTCTACCTTGAATATTAGAGCACTAAGGGTCTTGGGAATCATCAGATATAATCAGTCTTAAGCAGAATCAACCTTTTAAAAATATAGATGCCTGTGTCCTACACTAGACTAGATCCACTGAATCAGTTTATAGGAATGAGGCTTAGACATGTCCAGTGTTTTCAAAATGCTCCACAGGAAGTTTTTCGGGTTTTTTATTATGGTTAAAAGAAAGCATTAAAATTGCCGTCTTAATCATTTTCAAGTATACAGCTCAGCATTGTTAAGTACATTCATGTTGTGACCACAGGAAGTTTTTATTAACCCACTGATGAAGAAGTACTGTTGATCCCATTCTACTTTTTCATTTTTTTAGGTGAAAAACATGGAACTTGGAACCTTGAGGGACTTGTCCCACCTCACACAATGAGTTGCCCATAATACTCATGATTTCATACCATCTTACTTATCTCCGTACCACTCGGCATTCTTGACTCAAGCTACAATTAGAATTAGGGATTGTACCTGCTAATAATTTTCCATTAGATTCAGTTTTAACTTATTAAATTTTAACTATTGAGTTCGGCTCTTGAGCAAACTTAACACTGCTTTTTAGGAAGAGAATGAAATCTGTTTTGTGAAATTAGCCATAAAAATATTGAAAGCATATAAAACTTCAGTGTTAAAAATCAGCATTAATAGGTGACTTTCAGAAAGCCCTCATAAAGGAAATGAGTCTTGAAGAATAGGCAGGGCATGGATAGGAGAGGAGAGAATACCCCAAGTTTGAGAGAGAGGATTTGATGGGCCCAGTGTTAAATGCCATGTCTCACGCCTGTAATCCCTGTGTTTTGGGAGGCCAAAATGAGAGGATCACTTGAGCCCAGCAGTTTGAGACCAGCCTGGACAACATGGTGAGACCCCGTCTCTACAAAAAATAGAAAAATTAACTGGCTTGGTGGCTCATGCCTATAGTCCCAGCTACTTGGGTGGTGAGGTGGGAGGATCACTTGGGCCCAAGAGATAGAGGCTATAGTCAGCCCTGATGG